ACTAATATCTAAGTTCGGATATAAATAACATGCCAGTTTAATCGCAAAAAACACACAAAACAACATAGAACACATGTAAAACAACTAATATGCAATTTTTATACGAGTTTCGACAAAAACTAAATCGGATGTCACGACCCGGATTTCCCACCCTCGGGAGTCGTGATGGCGCCTACTATTAGGAGATAGGCAAGCCAATTAGTTATTATCTCTTTTAGCAAACCTCGACATTAATAAAAACAACGAAACATTTAATAGAAAAGCGGAAGTCTTAAATATAAATAAACTGAAAGCAATGCGGAAGTTCAATACAACTCTACCCAAGAACTGGAGTCACAAACTCACGAACGTCTAGAGAATGCTAAATACAATGTCTGAATAAAAGCATAGTTTTGTTTGTTCCGGTACAAAGGATAACAAACTAAAGTAAGGATAGAAGAAACTCCGGGCCTAGGGACGTCAGCAAGGCTACCTCGGTGTCTCTGGACTGAAGTCAGCTCCCAAATCTACTATTGCTGTCCAAAAGCTGCTCCGGCACCGTGATCTGTGCTAAAAGATGCACAGAGTGTAGCATCAGCACAACCGACCCCATGTGCTGGTAAGTGCCTGGCCTAACCCCGGCGAAGTAGTGACGAGGCTAGACCGGACTACCAAACAAACCTGTGCAGTTCAATATATATATGTATGCACTATAAAGGTATACAGAAATTAACCAGTCAAGGGGGAGGGGGAGCATGCTGTAGGGGCTGTAACCGTTCAGGTATAAAATCAATAATTAAGGAATGAAACAGTACAACTACAATAGCAACGATAGTAGGAAATCAACAGTTGCACGGCACCACCCTTCGTGCTTTTACTCTCGTTCTCACCCAGACAATCATATAGAGTGCACGGCATCACCATTCGTGCTTTACCTCACAAAATGATGACACGGAATGATCCTTCGTGCATAAACACTCATATCATGGCACGAAATGTTCCTTCGTGCATTAGTAATCATATCATGGCACGGAATGTTCCTTCGTGCATTAGTAATCATATCATGGCACGGAATGTTCCTTCGTGCATTAGTATTCATATCATGGCACGGAATGTTCCTTCGTGCATTAGCATTCATATCACAATCGTGCACGGCATCACCCTTCGTGCTTTATTACTCGTCCTCACCCAAACAACAATCACAAACAAAGGGGCGAGGGAATAGACAAACAAAATAGGAATCCCGGCAAGAGAACAATAACTAATAACTCATTAGCTTTCTTTCGTTTCTTACTTCACATCTCACTATATTACTTGAGCCAATGCTCCCATGAATCTTATAATCTCAGATACATTTTCAATTCGTACTACAACCAAGCCAATACACCACGAAAATCAAATGATCATAATGTTTTTCACATGTTCTTTACAATATATAAAAGTCCTCAGTTAACATGGAATTCACACAAAATTAGGATAATCACCCTTTAAGGACTCACGGTCATGCTAGACACCAATGTATAGATACTCGTCACCGTGCCTATACATCGTACTCGATTAATTAGCAAATAGCAAACAAGACTCAACTCCTATTCCCTCAAGCTAGAGTTAAACCAAACACTTACCTCAACTTCCACGTCCAATTCAATCCTCAACAACCGCTTTCCCTCTCGAATTCGGCTCCAACTCAACCAAATCTACGCAATAATGACTTCATGTTATCAATATGTGCTAAACAAATCGAACCCAATGTCTAATTATAGCTTTTGCATCCATTTACCCCAAAGGTCAAAAATGCCCCCGGGCCCACATGGTCAAAACCCGAGGTTCGAACCGAAACCCGATTACCCATTCCCCCATGAACTCAGATATATAATTTATTTTGGAATCGGACCTCGAATTGAGGTCCAAAACCCCCAATTTTAGAAGACCTAGGTTCTACCCAAAATTCCCAAATTTCCCCATTAAAATCATTGTTTTGAAGTTGAAATTATGTTTAAAGATGTTAAGGAGTAAAGAAAATGAGTTAGAAATCACTTACCAATCGTTTTGGAGAAGAAGAATCGTTTGGAAAATCGCCTCTTATGTTTTGGGTTTTGAAAAAGTGAAAAATGACTGAAATTCCCAACCTTATATACCCTCTGAAGACCCAGCGCGTACCGCGCAAAAATGGACCGCGGCCGCGCTGAAGAACTGTACAAATACCACTCTTTGAACTATCCAGCGCGGACCGCACAAAGGGGAACGTTGGTAGACCTGGGAAATGCTGGCTCTCTGAAGTTAGCTACGCGGACCGTGCATGGACGATCGCGGCCGCGCAGTTTCCACCGCGGACCGCACTAAGGCGACCGCGTCCGCGCAGCACGCATTGCGGACCGCACTAAGGCGACCGCGGGTGCGCTGGAGCCTGCAACTCCCTGAACCTGCAACATCTGCTATTTCTAAGTCTAAGACCTCCCGGGGTCTACTCAAAACTCACCCGAGCCCTCGGGGCTCCAAACCGAACATACACATAACTTCAAAAATACCCTACGGACTTACCCGTGCGATAAATCGCCAAAATACATAAAAAAACAACGGATCAAGCCTCAAAACTCATGAATTCTTCCCAATTTTCATAAAACATCAATTCTTTTTCCATTTTAAGTACGAAACACGTCAAACGACGTCCGATTTCAACCAAACTTTATAGAAAGCGTTTAAACCATATATAAGACTTGTACCGGGCGCCGGAAACAAAATACGGGCCCGTTACCACAGTCTTTTAATCAGATTTCATTTCCAGTTCCCTTGATAAATTTCAGAAAAGCAATTTCACAGAAAAATTCATTTCTCGGGCTCTAGACCTCGGAATTCGACTCCGGGCATATGCCCGAGTCTCATATTTTTCTACGGGCCCTCCGGACCGTCCAATCACGGGTCCGGGTCCATTTACCCAAAATGTTGACCAAAGTCAACTTTAATCATATTAACACCAAAATTCATCATTTTTCACACAGAATTCATATTTAAGCTTTGCGGCTACGCGCCCAGACTGTGCACGCAAATCGAGGCGACTAAAAATGAGGTTTTCAAGGCCTCGGAAGCACGAAATGAATGAGAAAACAGGTGATGACCCTTTGGGTCGTCACATCGGAATACCTCGATTTATTATTTTTGGAAAGTTGAAGAATTGAAGATTTGAGTCCGAAACGAGCAACCCACAACGAGAGAAGGACTTAGTTAGGATGTGGGACCAATACTCTTTACTTTTTGTGAGACGGGTGGGGTCCACTCGAGTTTTTTTGGGTCGTTAATGGGGGGGGGGGGGGAAGGGGACCGCTGGAACGAATTTTAAAATGGGGAGGGGGGGTGCTTTTTGTTTTGAACGCGGGGGAAGGGAAGGGGACATGTAATGAAGATTTAGAGCGTGGTTTAGTAAAGCGTTTTATATAAAGCGCTTTATCAAACCACGTTTTAGTTAAACTATCAGCTTCAGGTAAAGCGTGGTTGAGGTTATGAGGCGCACGTTAACCGTTGCTCTCGGCGCACGATATCAAGGTTTGCAATTGTGACCGGAATCAATGGCTCGTTGCCGAAAAGCTGTGCATGATACTAATACGCAGTCGGAGAAGCTTATTAGTCCAGCTAACGGTATTCAAATGGAATTACCTCCACTCACATTTGGAAGTTTCCTTCCACAGAAATACCAGTCGATTGAGGAAGCTCATGAAACAAGCAGTTCTGAAGGAGATGTTCAATTTCAACCGGTTAAAGCGGAAGGAACAATGAATCCAGTAGTGAGACGATTACAGTATTCAGAAGCAAGTGGATCGGAGAAGCCAAGTCCTACGGCAGCTGATATTGTACGAGGAAATCGCAGCTCACAAATGGGTAAAACATTATCATTTGTTCCTCCAATTGATAGAGATGGTAAGAAAATTGTCAAATTGAGTGAGGATGGTTTGCAATCGTAGGCGGATTATTGGAAAACCTCTCTAATTGGCTACATAATTGGAGAAAATCCTTATGAAAAAGCTATGGAAAGTTTTGTACTGAATGTGTGGAAATTTGTTACTAAGCCTCAGATTCTGATTCATTCTGAGGGCTATTGTATTTTTAAATTTCACACCATAGCTGATAGAGATCAAGTCCTTCAGTCAGGTCCATACACTTACAGAAACAAAACTATGGTAATAAGGCAATGGGAAATCGATTTCTCATTCAATAGAGACATTTTAAGCACAATTCCAGTATGGGTGAGATTTCCTGGCTACCAGTGGGGTATTGGTCGACTGAAGCCCTAAGTAAAATGGCTAGTGTAGTGGGAAAGCCCCTATACACTGACAAACTTACTGCTCATTATGAGAAAATATCCTATGCTAGAGTACTTGTGGAGGTTGATGCTGCATATTCTCTGCCAGATCAGATAGAGATAGAATCACCTTATGGCCCTATGGTACAGATGATTGAATATGACTAGAAGCCTGTATTTTGTAATGACTGTTTGAAATTTGGGCATGACTCTATTGATTGTTGGCATAACACAAAGTGTGCTGAGGAGCAGGAGACTAAGGAAGGGGAAAGATCAAGGAGACAGAGAAGATAAACAAAGAAACAAGGCAAAACTGTTAAGCAAGCTTGGCTTGCAAAGATCCCCAAGTGAATGCAGAATCAGTTCCTCAAGAAGGAATAGTGCTACAAGAGAAACCTACTCATGAAAGTGTTTGCCTGGAGAAGGGTAGTGGAAGTATAGAGAGTACACAACAGCTTGTTTCTTTGCCATGTCAAGCAATAGATGGGACAAATACAAATGAGATTATCTGTAGCAATACTGTGATGGAAGGAAATATTGACAAGGGCAAGACAATTGCTGAGATCAATGATGATGGGAGAAGAGGACAACAGATAGATCCAGGGCCACCATGCCCCCTAATTTCCAATTCTCTATGATTATTGTCACTTGGAATTTTAGGGGGCTAAATCAAGCCCATAAGCAGAAATAGGTCAAGACTCTTCTAGCTACAAATAAAGTAGATGTAATGGGATGTATAGAAACCAGAGTTAAGGAGCATAAAGCAAAGAAAATTAAAAAAAAGATAGCCAAGGGATGGAATGTATGCTGCAATTATTCATATGCTGTGAATGGGAGAATTTGGATACTTTGGAGAGCTCATATTCAAGTACAGATTACCCATATGACAAATCAGTTCATCCATTGCTGTATTGAAGATACTAGCACTCAATTTAAAACACACCTTAGTATCATCTATGCTCAGAATGATGGTCACCAAAGGGAGAATCTATGGAGGGATCATAGGCAGATAAATATACCAACCCAGGAAACATGGCTGCTCAGTGGAGATTTCAATAATGTTCTATCCTCTAAGGATATAATAGGATCCCCTGTAACTGCTGCTGAAATACAGGGATTTAAGGATGTGATTGATGATCTACAACTTACCCCACTTAGAGCTAAAGGTTGGAATTACACTTGGACAAATAAGCAAGGTACTGGTTCTAGGGTGTATAGCAAGATAGACTGGGCATTAGGCAACTATCAGTGGATTCAGCAGTATGGTCATGTAGAAGCTGATATTTTGAATCCATCAGTATCTGATCATTCCCCTATTTTAATCTAATGTTGTAGGCAGAAGTTATTGCATCCTAAACCGTTCAGGCTGTATACAAACATCATGGAGCTTCTACAATTTCAGAGCATTATTCAGCAAGTATGGAACCAGTGCTATGATGGAGCACCTATGCAACAGATTTGGTGTAAACTGAAGAATATGAATGAACAACTGAAGGAGATAAATGCCTATATGGCTTCATACAAACAGAGTCTTGAGCAGGCAAGAGAGAAATTGGATATTATACAGAGTCAAATAAAGCAGGATCCTTTGGCACATGCCCTTTTTAATGAAGAGAAAGCAGCATTAGATGAAATTGAGAAGTGGAGTAATGTGGAAGAACAAGTAATGAGGCAGAAGTCCAAGGCTTGCTGGATTGAATGTGGAGATGCCAACACAAAGTATTTTCAGGCTCAGTGGAAGATTAGATCCAACCAAAATAGTATAACATCCATTTATACTGATACAGGTATGAAACTAACAGAGCCCAAATTAGTTGAGCAGGAATTCATCAGTGTATTTCAGTCTTTGATGGGAGATTGTGCTACTGAGTTGCCATGTGCAAACACAGCTATAATTAAAGAAGGGCCACCCTTAACTATATCACAGCAAAGAACTTTGATTCAGAATGTTACAATGGAGGAGATCACAGAAGCAGTAAGGGAGATGCCTAAAGACAAAGCAACAGGGGTTGATGGGTTCCCTATGGAGTTCTTTACCAGAAACTGGGAGATAGTGAAAGATGATATTTTTGCAGCTGTTAAGGATTTTTTTCTACCAACAGATTGTTGACACCCAAATTTTTCCTAAGTATTTTTATACCCAAAATACTTCCAAAATAGCATATTGGTGCATATATAAGCACACCCAAGAGTTTTGGCATTTTAAACGATTTTTAAATCAATTTATTGCCTATTTTAATACAACAAAATCCAATGATTATTCCCAAAATTATTATTTTTTGGTGAATAATTTATTTTATTCTCACATTTACACCAAAATATAATTAACGTAATTTTTTGCATATTTTTACGAATTCATTTGGTGTTTTTAACGCTAGATTGCACACAACTGCAATTATAGCCTATATTACGATTAATGGCATTTTACACTTATAGAATTATTTCCAGTATTTTCAGATTAATGTTTATATATTATTAAATAGCTCAATGCTTTTAATTTGTTTAAAATCGTTTTAACTATTTTTATATAAAATTAAAGGGGAAAAATCGGCTATTTAACACATAGCCATTTCAATTGCAAATATAGCATCAATTTAATCCTCAATTAACCCCAACTCAGCCCAAAAAATACCCAGCCCAATTACCACTTGCAACCCGATCCATACCCCTTCCTATCATACCCAACCCGGTCCCCATTTAACCCATTTAATCCGAGCCGTTGATCTAAAAAGATCAACGGCTCCCCTCTTCCCTTTCCTTTTTTAATTCAAACGACCCTAAAACCCTACCTCATTTTTTCTCGACCGCCGCCTCTGAATCCCCTCCTCTCTCAACTTTCTCTCAACTCACCTCAAACCCTAGCCGCCAATCTCACTGAAACCTTAATCTATGGCTTCTCAGGCTCATCGGAGGCCTATACTAGCCTCCCATGGCTTCTGCGTGCTCATTTTCTAAAGGTCCTATGACCAGATCTTGAAGGGTTCCGACCAAGCCTTTGCTCGATGACTATTCTCCGGTCGTCTTCAACCTTTATCCGGCCAGTCATGGCTATTCGAGTTCAACCTTCGACTTTCCTGCTCAGATCGATGGTTTCCAAAGCCTTTCTCATCACCTGGGTTTCTTACAAAACCCTAATCTCTAAGGTTCCTTCGATTTATTTCTAGATCTGCTCCGGATCTATGTGTGTGTGAACCTTCTATGCATTTTTCTCGAGTCTCTTTAATTTTTTTGCTTTCAGGAACTCTTTATTCTTCAACTAGGGTTTCATGTTAAGTTATTTCGAATCTCTTCTCTGATTCTCAACATGTTTTACTGTGTTTTGTTTGTGTTGTTTTCTATCTGAGTTAGCATGTTGAAAACCCTAATTTTTGGGATTTTGTTCGAGTTTCTTAGTCTGTTTGTTAATATTCGTTTGATTTACCTTATTTTTATCTGAGTTAGCATGTTGAAAACCCTAATTTTGGGATTTTGTTTGAGTTTCTGTTTGTTAATATTCGCTTGATTCTATATCTGAGTTAGCATAGTGAAAGCCCTCATTTTTGGGATTTATCCGAGACTCTGAATCTGTTTATTTGTTTATCTGCTTATCTCCTCTAAACTCGATTGATTTTCGAAAACCCTAGTTTCTTTGGGGACTATTCGATTTCTTTGAAATTGTTTGTGCAACTCGTCTGTTGAAATTGCAATGTGCTTCAATTCTCTTTTCTTCATGTGACTCTTTTGGTTCTGAGTTCTTACTACCTGTCAAACTCAACTATGGTTTCCACTCAATCTTTGCATGCTTCTGATCTTCTTCTCTATTCTTAAACACTGAAACTTGACTATCATGCTTCGAATGTCTTCTTTTTAGTTACTACTACATGCTGTTATTTTGCCATAACTTGGCCTCACATGTCTATTACTTGTGCACTTCATTTATATACTGAGTCCCTTCTGTGATTGATTCTCAAACTCGTGATTGATTTTCAAAACTTTCCTTTGTGAAATTCTGATTTTTACTCGCCTGTTAGGGGGTAATTGATTCTTTTTCTTTGTTTGGCCTTACCAGATCCTTTCCAAAAATAATTACATTCCTGTACATAGACTTAAACACCTATTGTATGATTTTACTGCTCCTTTTATGGCAACAACCATTCTGCTTAAAGACTGATTTTCTTTCCTTATCTTGACCCTGTTAGTATCCGTTTGAACAATAATCCCTTGATTAAAGGGAAGTCTTGTGTTAATTGATTATGACTTGTGATTATTTTCATATTTGTGTTAAAACTTTACTTATTACCTTATTCTCCACTCGTTTTCAAAATTATAAATACCCTACCCTTTTTTCTTTAAACACACACGAACAACTTGAGTTCAAAATATACACACTTACTCTTAAAACTCTCTCTTTCTTTACTACTACTTGTGCTGTTGCTTTGCCTAGCCGGCTGAAAGCCAAGGCTAGACTGTGGACTTGTGTTTGCTTTACCTTTCTGCACTTTGCTTCTCTACTGGTATGTCCTAGTTAATTAACAAGCCTCAACAACAATATGTTCTCTTTAATTACTCCAGTTTGTCATTCCTGTCTACTTCTACTCATGTTTCTGTAGTCAAGATATGTTACTAGCATGCTGTAATACGTTCCCTTGTAAATTAATGTTTATCTATGTATGCACCCTGTCAGTCACTTGTTATTTATTTGCTACCTTATGAATCCCGAACCCCCGTATCCCCTTATATGCTTTAAGTTATGGTTCAGAAACATGGCAATATTCGAAGTTATTGTCCATGGATATGAACTGGACCCTTTGGGCCCTAAGCTTTGTCAGTTTCCCATCCCTATTCCCTTATTATGTGTGCTGAGTAACAGCTTTGGCCTGGCAGTATTCTAGTTATTGCTCAGACCATAGCTTGACCTCCAGTAGGTCTTTACTCTCTAAATGTTTGGCCAACAGGTTTGGTTAGGGGTGTGCCAGTCTACTTTATGGCTGGGCATGACCACCAGCCTGCCTGGGTATTCCCTATCCCCTTTCTCTTATTGCACTTGCACTATGCTCTTAGAACTTAGGTTCTGCCCCTCTTGTGTGAGCCTTGCCTTGGGACCCTTGAGCTCCCTCTGAACTTGGACACATAAGGGCTGGCCCTTCCACACTGCACAACTCAATTTTCTGATTAACATCTTGGGTGTATGCACTGCCTGGGGTTCCTGAAATCCCTTGGATCTCTGAAACACCCTAGATGAGATAAGGCTTGGAAATCTGGATCTCGGAAGTGGCTCAATCTTATATTATTAGACATTAAGTCTGAATTAGGCTGCTCGGATGTAGCTGATGATTCCTGATGTACTTTTTTAATTCCAGTTTTATTTCTTTTGGGCTGTAATAATTTGTATAAACTCGGGGATTTAGTAAAAAAGGGGGATGGGGTTTACTTTTATGCACCAAGGGTAGAAATCATGCCTATAGGGATTTATTTATGATTTGTGCAACTCCACGCGTAGAAAACATGCCTATAGGATTCGACACTTAATTTCTGCAATAAAGCATATAGATATCATGCCTATAGGGTTAACTTCTGATTTCTGCAATTTCATACATAGATATCCTGCCTATAGGATTAACTTCTAATTGTTCTGCAAATTCACATATAGAAATACACGCATCTCTGCATATATAAGCGTCATCAGGCAAACAGTTCGTAGGTTTAACAATAAAAGCTGCATATAGATACCATGTTCATAGGACTTCTGTTAACATCTAAAAATGTCAAAAATCAATAAACATATAGAGAGCATGCCTATAGGAAATCTCGAATCTGAATAGAAGCTACGTCAACTGCTGAACTCGTATTGTTCTGTTAAAACTGGTAACCTTTTTCTATAATCAGTTTTCATTATTTCTAAAATCAGTAGATATCATGCCTAGTTCTATCCAACACTTAGACAAAAGGGTTAATTAATCAATCAGATCGGTTTAGTCAACTGCATTCGAGCGAGCCTAATGTAGACTTTCCGTCTAAAAATATGCGTTGAACCAGTCCGCTCGTCGCATTATTTAATTAAGACCAAATCAGTACGTGTAAGACATGCTAAACTCTATGACTTTTATCTGATTATGGAGGCATATTTGAGCCCTGTTTGCTTGTCTGCTTCCCCTTTATTTGCATTACGTGTTTTTGATTGACGCCTTAGCATTTTTTCCTTTGAAAATTTCTAAAAGCCCCCAAACCCCTCTCCCTTTAGGATTAGTAGTCCATTTGCCTCCGGGGCTGATAGGATTGGGACGGGTAATAGCATGCAATAAGTAACGATACTACTCCGCACTTTAATACCTTAACGGGGTAGGGAAGGGTAGACATGGAGATGATGATCACACGATAACACTATGCGTACAATTGGGTACCGGTGTTGTGTGGATGATCCATGTGATTTATAAAACTAGGACCCCCCTCCCTTTTTGTTATTTTTGTTCCAGAATTTTAAAAGCTATTCAGTTTTCAGTTTCTCTTCTTTTACTTCAATCTTTGCACCTATCATGAAAAATCTCTCTTTTAATTGTTTGAATTTTAGTATTGTTTCTCCCTAAACTTCCGTCTCTTTCACTTCTTTTAAGTTACTTGCATCAATTATTTGACCTCTTCCCCTTTACTCGTATATCTTTTCTTTAATTATAAAACTACTTTCTTCCAAATTCTAGTATTTTTTAAACCTTTTGTACTTTTTATTTGCAACCATTATGTAAAAGTTTTCCTCGTATTTGCAATGCTTGGTTGTCTACTTGTTGTTTGTATTTAAAGTCACAGTTGTAGCATGACCGGGAACCACACTAGTGGATCTTGAGGGGTGCCTAACACCTTCCCCTCGAGATAATTTCTAGCCCTTACCCGAACTCTGGTTTTTCATCTCAAATTCTTTCTTAAAGTGTCCTAATGCACTATAATCATTAGGTGGCGACTCTCCAAATCCAAAACCCAATCCCAAACGGGAATAGAGTTGTCTTTCCTAAATGTCGTAAACTCGATTTCTCGCTCTTTGGAGGGAGGGAAAAAGGGGGCGTCGACAGCATGGCGCCTCCGCTGGGGACTCTTTAGGCTTTTACCATTGCATGCTATATGTGACTTTATTGCTTTCTT